TAAATATGAAAATGTTAAATGGCACGAATATCAATGAACTTTTTGATAAATTATTTATCATTAATCACAATCAGAAAATTAAAGGTAAATTTCATAAAATTATTTTAAATTATTAATTTAAATTAATATTTAAATTTAAATTAAACTTTTTAGGAAATATTATTTATAATAATATGTTAAAAATCCAGAATCTTACAATACAAATGTTGAATGAAAAGTCATGGAACAAATATATGAATACAATAACCAATCAAACTTTTGATAATTTTATAGCAAAAAAATTTAGAGTAGAAAATTTGTTCGCGGATTCGATAAATGATATTCCAGTTTCAAAAGCAGCGCGAATATCTACTGAAAACATAATCAAAGGTATTTAAAGTGAGATTAATTTAATTTTTTAAAGTTTTATATTATTATATATATTATAATATATATATATATATATATATATATATATATATAATAGTATATAATATTATATATTATTATAATATTATAAATATTATTCATATTTACGTGAAAAATGTTATGTTCCATAGGAGATGCAAAAATTGCGAGATTACATGTAACAAAGAAATTTATAGTTGATTCAAAATTCAAAATATCAGATATTCCATATCAAATATATTCTAATGTTTCCATTCAAGGTAACGTGAAGATAAAAACTTTAGAACTGGATAATTACATGCAAATCTTTCTAAATAATGAAAAAATAAATCTTAATAATATTTTCAATGTTTTTTGGACAAAATCAAGCAATCAAGTAATTAAAAACGATATCATTTTTGAAAATAGTTTAACTATAGATTATTTTAACACAAAATACTTGAATGGGTTTTCTGAGGAAGAATTTTTGTACACTACTGTATCAATTATTCCAAAAAGTTTTGAAAAATTACATTTTGAAAATATTTATATAGATGATATGTTTTTCGTTGAAGAAAAAAATGATAGTTTCTTCGAAATTGCTCCAGAATCTATAATAATTCGAGAAAAATTATATGTAAAACATATACACGGAAACGAATTATTCATTGATGTTTTCAATGATGTTCCTATTGTCAATATTTTAAACCAAAAACAGCCTCATATTTTTCTACAAAACATGACTTTTTCTAAGATTAAAACTAAACAAATATTTGTAAATAAACTTAATTTTCTCTTCTTTAGTGACAAAAATAGTACTTTCTTTTTACGAAATAGCAAATATCAGAAAATTAAATTTATGAAAGTTCCGAAATTTTGTTTAGAGAATCTCAATGTAGAAAAAATTAATAATTTCGAAGTAAAAAAACTTGGATTGTTAAAAAATATGAAATTATTTGATTTAAAAGATTTAGTAATACATGGTGATTTAAATATTAAAAATTTAAATATTATTTATTTAAACGATATTGCCAAAAAAAATATCGTATTCAATATTATTAATAAAATTGAGTTCCAAAAATTAACCGTAGAGAATATCACATTGAAATCCCTACATGATCTTGATGTGAATAACTTTTTTAATGATTTTCTCTCGAAATCAACAGAACAAAATATACCTATAAAATTCATTTTTTATAAAGTTACTGTTAATAATATCAAAACTAAGATTATTAATTATCAAGATATCTCTAATTTGATATGGATTGATAAACCTTTATTGATAGAGAACGTTAAATTCGATAATTTAATTGTAGAAGGAGATATTGTAACAAAAAATTTAAACAATTTTGTTTTTGATGAGGTAAACTTTAAATTAAAATATGAAATGATAATATTGACTTTCAGTTATTGAATTAAAGAAATTTTATTTCAGTTATATTCAAGTTTGATCAATGTGTCAATATCAAAAATCACTAATTTAAAAATAGACGGAAATATTTCTTGGGATATTTTCTCAATAAACTCCACTTCTTTGACATTTTTATTCAAAAATGCAGTAACCAAAACAACGAATCAAACTATTCAAAACAATATAATTTTTCAAAAAAATATATCAGCATCAATAGTTAAAGCACAATCTAAAGAAATCGATAAAATATATAATATTATTGTAGATGCTGTGATAGATGATGAGAAAAATATTGAAGTAATTGGTCAAAAAATTTTTAAAGAGAATCTAAATATTGATACTATATCAGTAATCAATAATATTGATATTCCTATGATTAATAATGTTAATATTCTCGAATTTAATAATTCCGTAGTAAGAAAAGATCGAGAAGCAATAATAACTGGAATTATAACTTTTCTCGATGATGTCGCGATTGATCAAATTCTTGTCAATGATAATGTTCATAACATCCTCTTAAAAGATGTGGTTCTGGCAACTGATGTATTACCAACTCATATATTTTTCAAAAATCTTGTTATATTAAAAAATGTACGTTTGAAAAATTTTGATAAAGTAGATTTTGATGAATTCTTAAAGAATCGTGTAACCATTGACAAAGAAAATGAAATATTTTTTGATGTACATTTTAATGATATTATAGAAATAACAGGTATGTATACAATTATAAATAAATCATATTAAAAATTAGAAATTATATTAATTCGTTAAATAAATCTTTAAAACTGCAAGCATGAGAATTAGTTCAACAAACATGCAAAATTTATAATATTTATATATGATAGATATAATATAAATTATATAAATCATTTAATTCAAAATTTTATGTATACGCATGTATTTACTAATAATTCAATATAATATGATTAAAAAATCTTAGAGAATGCAAATGCATCAACACTCAATAATATTTATATTTCCGATTTGGCTCTAAATGAAAGTAAGGAAACGCAAATAATATCTGATTCAAAGATCTTTGAAGAAAATTTTATAGTAAATGGCAATATTTATACATCATTTATTAATGGGATGAACATATCATTAGAATATTATAACGGTGTGCAAAATGATGAAGACGTTAATATCATCGGAGATTTGGTAAAATTGTTTGATTCAGATAATTTACATGTATATATTTTATAATGTATTTAAAAATTGCATATTTGTTTTTAATTATTAAAAATTGTAGATTTTTGAGTCAAAAATTAAAGTTCCAGAAAATGTATCCGTTTTCAACTTAATAAACGAAATAAATTTATATACTATTCTCTATAATCTACAAGAACAAACACATCAAATCTATCGCGTGTTCGTACTAAATGAAATTAAAATGAAGGAGAGTATTGTTCAATCTTCCTTAATTTCTAAAACTCTTACAAACATTTTTTCATATTTAGAAATAGAACAAAAGTTAAGAATTCAAGCACCTAATATTAAAAAGATTGATGTTGCTTATTATGAACAGATTACAAAATTGAATATGTTTGGAGAAGAAACAGGACATTTTTGCGGACTTCCAAATAATTGTTCTTGTCTAATTGAATATATGGTTGAACTTACTAAAAAAAGTTGTCAAATTCGAAAAATAAATAATAATAAAATAATAAGAAATTATCAATATTTACATAATACATATGGTATAAACATAGAATCAAATGCAATATCATATAGTCGTGAATGTACATTGAATAATACTGAAAACGAATTCATTACGATTTTATGGATTAAACCTAACATAATTGATACTGGAGATATATTAAATACTAATGTAAAGGAAACGACTTTAAAAATTCGAGGTTTCATAAAAGATGCAAAATTTTTCACACATGATAGTATGATATTAAATATTAATAAAATTATTTAATTTTAAATTAATTAATAAATTAAAATAAATTAATTAATAATTAGTTTAACATTTTTAATTTTTAATTTTTTTATTTATTTTAGATGCTACTTTCCTTGCACTAGCAGTATATTATGATACGATACATGCAACACATCAGACAAATTCTTTAATTTACAAGATTGATTTCAAGAACAATACATTATTCTTATATCAAAACATATCCACTGATGGAGCTTGGACTGTTGAAATTTTTAAAAGGAATTATCACGATGTATATCTTCTATTTGGTTGTTTTGGAAACTCCGAAAAATCATATTTATATAAATTAGATGTTTCTATTTCCAAAGTAAATGCTTCATTATTAATTATTTTATAAAAATATTTTAAATAATGATAGATTTATATATTATTTTTTTATAGTTTATAATAATCAGAACTTTCGAAGGTAAAACACGCAATGTAAAAAGTTTAATTCAAGAACAAGATGGTTTTGTTTTATTAGATGATTTCGAGACAAATGCAATAAATATTTTTTATTACAATTCAGAATTCGATAATTTTTACAATTATCAAACTCTTTTGTATAATTCACAAATTTATGGAATAGAATGTTTTTACATGAACGGTATGAACAATATATTAATATTATGATAAAATAATAATTATATTTAACATTTTTTATTCTATTTATTATTTTAGAATTTGGCCAAACCAATTCTTTTGTCATTGTTATAACAGAAAATGATCAATTTTATATTTATGAATATATGCATGCACAAGTAAGATCACATTGATTCATTAATTAAATTAATTAATATAATTTATAATATATTAATTAATATATTAATTAAAATCTATATAATTTAATCTATATAGATTTTCTCACAAAATTATTTTTAGAAATTCCAATTGAAGATACATCAGCGCATAAATGATTTACAAATGATGGTACCTTTCTATCATTTAGAAAATTATTATATCTTTATGGGTACAAGCACAAATAGTACTATACTACGAATCATAAAACAAGGACCCTAAAAAAATTTTATAAGAATCTTATTATACAAGTTTATTTACTATTACATATTATATTATATTATACATATATAAATTATATCTTATGTAAATTAACATATAGAATATATAGAATTAATGCATACATATTAATAACTAAAATATATATAATATACATGTATATTTACAATATAAATTTCATGTATTAAATAATTAATATATTTGTTAGACAATTTTATTACTTTGTATGAATATATCTTAGTTCAAACATCTATAAGACTTATAGACTCTAAAAAAGCAGATTTAGTATTAATCGAATTGCGCCAGCGCAATTCCAACCAAAGCATTGAACTTTAATTTCTACAAAAAGAGGCTTAAGACAAAATTAAATAACATAAAAATCATTACGTGAGAATACAAGCAATTAAATGGTGTAGTTGCAAATATTTTCAGAACAATAATAATATTCTACGACGAATTCTGTAGTCAACGCAATACGAAGTGTAAAGGTTTTCCTCTTTTGTGAAGTAGAAGCCATCGTAACACATTGAAGTTTCTTCGTTGTTGCTGTGTAACACTACTCTTAAAGTTTTAAGGTATATTCAAGTGCAGAAAGTGTTTTTTTAATTTCAAAAAGATTAAAAACATTTTAAATTATCTCTTAAAATGAAACTGTCAGGGTATCATTTCATTGTTATTGGACAACTTTTATTCGTCTCTAATTAATTGCAAGCAATTCATAATTTGTATATAAATGTATGTAATTTAACTTATTTAATATGATTATAATAGATAAAATATCCAATTTAAAGAGATTGAAATATAATAAATTAAATTTAATTGCGTCTTCTTTTATCCGGCATGTCTTTTTTGGTTATGTCAAAACGATGAATTGGCATAATAAAACATTTACCAATTTATTAACATAATGTTGGTAATATTGGTACAATTGATTTTTTAAAACAATCATTAATCTTCGTTTTAATTAAAACATTTTATTTTATTCTATTTCCAAATAATGAGAACACTGTTTTGAGGTTATGACACGTATTAGGAATTTTCCATTACTAAATAATATTAAGTATATTTGTTTATATATTATTATAGCATAACGTAATTATATTCTATAATTATAATTAATTTTATTCATATGAAACAGTTCCTTCAAGGCAGTAATGGCTGTCAAGGGGCTAATAGCAGCAATTGTTCAATTTTTAACTCAACAATTAGAAGAAGGTGATATTACAGCAGATTCTCGGGAAAGCCTTGAAGTAGCGATACAATGTTTAGAAAGTGCTTATAATGTACAAGCATCAGATACTCCAACAAATTTTAACTTATACGAAGTTTATAAGTCTTCCGTAGAAAATGCAAAACCTTATTTAGCTCCAGAAGCTACTCCAGAAGCAAAAGCTGAAGCTGAAAGATTAAAAAATGAAGGAAATACTCTCATGAAGGCTGAAAAACATCATGAAGCTCTTGCCAATTATACAAAGTATATATTTCGATCTATTTATTTATTACTAATATATAAGTTGAAGTTAAAAAAAAAAAAATATTTTTATAAAAATTTATATATTTTTAAAATTACAATAATATTATATTATTTTTTTAGAGCAATTCAATTAGATGGTCGTAATGCTGTGTATTATTGTAACCGTGCTGCAGCATATAGTAAAATTGGCAATTATCAACAAGCAATTAATGATTGTCATACTGCATTGTCCATTGATCCCTCGTACAGTAAAGCATATGGACGTTTAGGTTTAGCATATTCCAGCTTGCAAAGACATAAAGAGGCTAAAGAAAGCTATCAGAAAGCTTTAGAAATGGAACCTGATAATGAAAGTTATAAAAATAATTTACAAGTAGCAGAAGAAAAATTAGCTCAGCCAAGCATGAGTAATATGGGATTAGGTGGAAGTGCATTACCAGGCATGGATCTTAGTTCACTCTTGAGTAATCCTGCTCTTATGAATATGGCTCGTCAAATGTTATCCAATCCAGCTCTACAAAATATGGTGAGCAATTTTATGAGTGGACAAGTCGAACAGGGAGGACATATGGATGCTCTTATAGAAGCGTAAGGATTAATTATTAATGCCTCTTGTACTTATATAAAACATATAACATCATATAAAATTTAATATTTTATAATTTTATATTACATTTAAAAACTTTTTAGTGGTCAACATTTTGCACGACAATTACAAAATGCTAATCCTGAATTAATTGAATCTTTAAGACGACAAATGGGAGGAAATCCAAATGATCCAGATCCACCTCAACAAAATTAAAAACTATAATTATGATACATTTTAATGATTTTACATGAAATGGAAATAATCAAATTTAATTGGAACATATACATAATTAAAAAGCAGTGTGTATCATTTTCTAATATGAAAAAGTGAAAAATTGTAACTAAAATTCACTTAAAAAAATTATCACTTCTTAAAATTATACATATATGAATATCATATATATATATGATATATATGATATATATATGAATATCATATTTATATATATATATATATGATATTCATATAATATATATGATAGAAATTTTCCTATAACTTAATTATTAAATAACAATTTATCTTTTGAATGTGTGCTGATGACATTTGATATGTGAAGATTAAATAATAAATACCAAAATATAGTGAATATTTTATGAATGAGAACTTTTCAGAATATAATTGATGCTTTTTATGTCATATAAAATAACTCTCAATCTATTCTAATTGATATATAGTATAAATATTTTTTAGCTTTTAAAATTATTTTCTATATGATAAATTATTGTTATTATTTAAAAACTAAATGGAATTACGTTTCTTATCAAATATTATAGTGTTTTTTCTAATAACTATTTTGTTCATAAACTGGTTATGAAATTATTAAAAAATTTCAAAATATTTAAAAAGTTACAGCGTTAGCTTTACAGAAAAATGTATATAATTAAACACATTCTAAATACATAACAAATTATATTATTAAATATTTTCAAAATATGTTCTTTATTTAATTTCTTTATTTATTTCTGCAACTACGATATTATAATAATATAAAAATTTAATAAGTTAATTATAAGTAATTATTTATAATTAGTTAACAACGAAAAATTACAATTTTGATCAATTAAATTTTATTATATTTTTAAAAAATGTGAAATTCAGAAATTTGAGTAATTTTTTTTCTTTTAAATTTTATAGAATTAATAAGATACAAATAAATATATTATATGACAAATTATTCTTATTTATCATATAAATTTTTATATTTATGTTCTAATTTGTTTTGACAATCTGTTTTGTATACAAATACAAATTTATAATTATTAATATTATATCTTACATATCATTCACTTTTACAAATAATTATTGCCATTGATTTAATATTTCATTTTTTTTGCCTTTTTTTTTTCTCTTTTTTTTCTTGCACTAATAATTTACTTATATTTATAAAAACACATAACACACATACACATATTTTTTTCAATTTTAATAGAATTATTAAATTATAATTAATGGAATTGTTAAATTATTTAGAGATGATAATGATAAAATTACTATATAATAATAAAACAATATTTTTTTTCTTGTATTGATTAAATTATTAATCCTATTTTTTAGACATATTTAAATTCTCTATGATTAAAATAATCTATAAAATACTTGAATACAATACTTGAATTATAACTATAATTTATTATATTTATTTTTAATGGAAAATAACATTTATAACATTAACAAAATTGAAAAAATTTTTAAATGTATTCAATTGTAAAAATATATAATTTATTTTATCATTTCATTTGTTTCATCAGTTTCTTATTTATCTTATATACTATAAAGTTAATATAATTCTTTTTTCACATTACAAAAACACTGAATGATGAAACTGATACAGCATTATTTATATAATTTTCAACCCTTCCCATCATTCATCTACAAATATATTCAAGAAAAAAAGTTGCCAATTATGAAACAAAATGGCTGGCAATAACATAAAAGAATAGAGAAGTGAGAAAATAATATTATCTATAATAATATTATCTAATTAAATCTGATTTTATTGAGTAAACCATTGCTATAGTAAGCTTCTCATTACGTGCAATATCATTCCCCTATTTTTATTTCTATGTTGCTAACAACCATTTTATCCCGCATTGGCAATTTTTTTGTTCAAGAAACACTGTTGTATACATAAAATCCCTCTAGATTCCTAATATATGATGGCACATGATTCGTTGATTTTATAGTATTATCTAGGAACGTATTATTAAATGATGCATAAATTAATCATCTCTCTTTTTAAAGAAAAATTATTATATTAAACATATTTTCATTTAAATATGTAACAAAAAAATTATTTTTTAAATATTATACATATAATTCTTTAATATTATAATACTCTTATTAGATAGATAAAACCACTATATAAAAATTACTATAATGTAAGCTCATAAATTTGTTAATATGAAATTAATAAACATTAATATTTTTCTTTTTTTTTTAACTATGCAATTATAATGATTAATAATTTAAATTATACAACATTCTACTAAGAGTTATATAATACTCAATTTCAATTACTTAAAATTTTATTAATATACAATTTGAATAATATAAAAAATTATTATTTTATAATTATCATTATACAATTTATAAAAAATTTATATGAAAATTTATCGGATATATATCAGAAGTCTGATAATATTTTGTAAATTCCTAGGAAAGGGTACTTTTAAAGCCTCAATACGATCCTGAGAATAATGCCCCTCCTTACTACTCGATTGCCGCACACTCACAGATTGAGGTGTGGCCATCGAGGGCAGCCATCTTCTTGACTTTCTGTCGCTTAGCATTTCAGGTAAATACGCAATTATTTCTTAAGTAATACTGATTAGAGTGGTGTGAGAGTGTACTGTGTTGTGTGCTCGAATGGTTTAAGCGTGCTACATATCGCTTTGTTAACGGCGCAACCGGGAACTCTGTGTGTCAAGGAGGGAAAAAAACCTTCTCCTCCTCCCGCGATAGAGAGGGCCGAGGGAGTGCCATGCGTTACGAATCCACAGCATCTTCGCATGACGACTGTTTAATTCAACATACAAGAAGCTACACGCTGTGACTGCATTCAATCACTGATTTGGGATCGTTTGTACCAGTTTAAATACGACCTGGGCTTTAATTCAGTATGTAAATCGTCCCCTAGGCTCTAAACCCCTGCGTCGCTATCCTGTCGCACCTTCAGCGCCCCCATTCTCCCCTCTCTGGCTTTATCCCCCTCCGCCACCACCTTTCGGCAATGCACTTCCGGCTGTGCAAAATTCGACAAAAAATTCCGAGTCCCAGTCCGGAAACCTAGTAAGTAAAAATTTATGTCACGGTTTCGTTTTGACATTCCTTTGTCATCGTTTATTCTGTCAACCGACATCTCAAAGCTACAATAAACAAAAGGTCGGTACGCTTTTTGATGATAGAAATTCACATTTCTATTTACATTTTTATAAAATTTTTTTATATCTTATAGCATATTTCTTACTCACTTTTTCATTTTATATCTTTAGAATGATTTCATCAGAATTTCATGACTAATAAAAATATTAAACAAATATGTCGATTTTTTCAACCTATATATATATAATGTATACATGTATAAAAAATATATATACATATATAAAAAATATTTCAAATATTTTATATGTATTATAAATAATTTTAAAAAATAATATATATAATTTATACTGAATTTAAAAAAAATTCAAATTTAACTAATTCAATTTGTGAAATATTAAAATAATTATAGTATTTTGTAAATAATAATTTTTACAACAAATGAAATATAAAATTTAAAACTTTATTGTATTGTTTTAATATTAATATATTCAAGTTTTTTCATTGCTTTTCTTATAGAATAAATTATATGATTAAAATTTTTGCTTCTGATTTATAAAAAGTTTTAAATCTTCTTTTATGATTTTATATTAATGAATATATCTATATAAAATATAAATATTTAATAAATATTTAAAACTAAAAAATTAAAAAGAAATGAAATAAAAAAATACATTCTTATAATCTAATAAAATAATATCTTAATGAATAGGATTTCATATTAAAAAATTATAATATTTTGAAGCATATTGCAATATATGAATTTATATATATTTATTTATCATTATCTGAACAAATTTATGATTTTTATAAATAAAGAAATACAACTTATTTAATTAAAATTTTATACATCTTGTCTATGTATAATATGAATGTATTGCATATTATATTTTATTTTTGCTTCTTAAAAATATTTTTTTTATGGTATACATATTTCTTAATAGTGCATGCTTAATACAAAAAAGTATCATTCTTATATGTCTATGCATGTTCTTCAAAAACATTTTTTTCTCAAGGCATAAGGTATTCTCTTACATATATAACATAATAGTATGTAAAAATCTTTACATATGAATTAAATAACATGTAAGATATATTTCCTTTCTTACATATAATTTTTAAAGCTTTACCTTATGCACTTCAGAATTCTGTAATCTTTGATTTAAATGTGCATTTGAAGTCATTATGATAACACCATGATAATATTAAATTCACATTATATTTAGTCTTTGGCATTTGCAGAATCTTGTAGTGTGCATTTTCATATATATCGGAAGGAAAGAGTTATGAATCAAAATCATAAAGGTGCCATTGTGATTATAGTATTATTAATATTTTTACAGATATTTAAATACATTATGATTGAAATAAAATATATACATACATATTTACATATATATATATATATATATATATGTATATAATATAATATTATATATATATGACATCTGTAGTACATGCAAATATCTCACAGCCTTTTATCCATTCTAACATATAAAATGTCCACTTAAAGCAGAGACGCTGAAAGAAAGACTAAAAACATGGGATGCAATACGGGCCGATGCCTCGGTCCAGACGATACGGGGTACCCTGGATCAGGTATGATCCAATCAATATCCTTTCAATTTTCAGCCCTCGTAGGTTGCTTTCTATAAATAGTATTAAAGTAGATATGAAATATAGATATATTTAAAAAATATTACCTATATACCCACTATGTAAGTAGCAGATAATTATGAAATTAGAGACAATTTTTAGCAGTAAAATTACATTACAAACAGAGGGCTGTAGAAAGTATATGCTATTGTATTTGTAATGCTAGTATCAATTTAGTATTCTATTTAAATATAAATGAATACAATACTTTCAGATGACAAATATTATACCCTACGAGGTTTGAATTCAAGTCACTGTTTATAGCATTGTGAGGAGGTGAATTTAACTGAACAATTTCAAAAGATTACCCTGACTTCTTCCTAACTCTATCCTGAAGAATGCTTTTTCTTAATCTCTTTCACTATTTTCTTTATATCTGTTTAAATTTAGATCTATCTATTTAAAATTGCTTTTTATTTATTTATGCCTTATTAAGGTGTAGGAAAAGTAGTTTTCTTTAATATTGATATTATTTACATCTTTTCAAATATTCATTGCATTTCCCATTAAGTTGTAATTATCTTATCTTATGTGTATTATGTGTTCACTCACTGCATGCCTTTAGTTGAATTAATTTTAGATGGTGTTTCCAAAATGTTAATTCAATTGATTTAGATTCATTATCAGTCATATCTGAATAATTGTTAAGATACTTTTCATTTATATTATATAAAATTACAATTAAAGTTTAATCATATAATAAAAATTGACTTCTACACTAGTATTTACACTAAATTTTTCATTTTATATATATACATATATAAATACATATATAAACTAATAAGAGTTAGGTGTGTATTTTTATTATTATTAATATATATGTAAAATTAAACATATATTCTATATATATTAGTTATTATTAACAAAAAGAGGTAATAATATTTAAAATTAAAAATAAATGCTCATTTTTATTTAAATTATATTATAAAATTGTGATATTATTTATGTAGGTAAGTTATTACAAGAATTTTAAAGCATTTATATTAAATATGACAAGGTATTAAATATTTTTAAATTATGTAAATAAAAATTTGTTATTCATATGAAGTGATTTTAAAATTTTTAAATTTTAAAATTTTTGTTTTTGCATTAATAGATATATTTATTAAAATTATATATATATTGAGATTAAAATTATGTACATAAAATTAGAATTCTAATTTAGAATATGTTTGAATATTAATAAAAAAATATATAATGATTTATATTTTAGAATTCATGGCAGCCATTAGAAAGAAATTGGTTATTGTGGGTGATGGTGCTTGTGGTAAAACATGCTTACTTATAGTCTTCAGCAAAGACCAATTTCCAGAAGTTTATGTACCTACAGTGTTTGAAAATTATGTTGCGGATATTGAAGTTGATGGGAAACAGGTGAATATATAAAGAAATTTTTTATATATTTAATTAATTATTTTAATATTTGTTTATTGTAATTAATTAAATATTTTAATATTTGTATTTTTTTCTTAATATGATAAAAAAAATATCTATAATAGGTGGAACTGGCTCTTTGGGACACAGCTGGACAAGAAGATTATGATAGGTTGCGTCCACTATCATATCCTGACACAGATGTAATCTTAATGTGTTTCTCTATTGATAGTCCAGATTCCCTGGAAAACATTCCTGAGAAATGGACACCAGAGGTGAAGCACTTTTGCCCAAATGTGCCCATTATCCTTGTTGGAAACAAAAAAGACTTACGCAATGATCCTAATACTATCAAAGAACTTAGCAAGATGAAACAAGAACCAGTTAAGCCAGAAGAAGGAAGAGCTATGGCTGAAAAAATCAATGCTTTTGCTTATCTTGAATGTTCTGCTAAAAGTAAGGAAGGTATTAGGGAAGTATTTGAAACAGCCACTCGGGCAGCACTACAAGTAAGTATTGTTCATTACAAATTTCTTTAAATATGAATATAAACTGAGCAGACGTTATTATAAAAATTATATGAGTTCGTAGGTAAAAAAGAAGAAGAAGGGAAGATGTTGGCTCCTATAATTCTTGATTTATCACCGATAACAAGACAACACTAATGGAATTGCTAGTTGCAATGAAGCTAGTTGTTATGCCGGAGACCCCCAGCGGAAACAATAATATAACAATTTATCTTTAATTATTTTACATAATAAAGCAACTTATTAAACAAGGAAACTACAAAAATACGTAATATAAAAAAAACTGTCATCAAAACTGGAAACTTAAACTATTATATATATATATAAAATATCTCACACAACTGGGTCAATTTAAAATGACTTTAAAATGATAGAAGATAGATGAAAATTTCATTAGATAAATATAAATATTATTAAGTAGTGCACAATAAAATGCACAGTATTACATCTGTGATCTAAAGTTATGTTTCAAAGATTTCTAGATCATTTCCATTTCTTTAAATTAAATTGGTTTTTTTATATATATAAATATATATATATATATACATATATATATTTATAGATATATAAATATATACATTAATAAATTGTCTTAAATTTTATAGAAATATGTTAAAGCACTCTTTGAAAACAATTAATTCAAAAAATATTTTAATTCTAATTGTGTAATTATGTATTGTATGACAAACAGAAAAAATAAATATAAGAGCTTATATATTATATTGCGCACATTTTTTTTGTTTTTCATATACTAAATTCAATTAATTAAATTAATATTGCAAATTCATAAAATAAAATTCTTAAAATAAAGTTTTTAAACTAAACATTTTTAGATAAAAATGTTTTAATACTTTTTGGAAAATAAAAGCATCAATTGATTTATTAAAAAATATAAAATATCATTTAAGAAACTAATGATGACCTTGAATTCTTTGAAACGCTTTCATTTTCAGCATATATGCACCAAATTATGTTTATTTAAAACTATTTTGTTAAATGAAATTTTTTTTCTATTTTTTTTCATTTCAAAGTTATAACTTGATCAAATTGCGTAGATATTTTATATATGCTATAGTATATGAGAAACTATAATGTATATTGTAATGACTACTTGATTGTATTTTTTAATAATAATGAATTGTGCTTGAAGTTTAAAAATTAAACAATTGTCATACCAACTATTTATAATTATGATATATAATTATCTATATCATTGTAGTAATTATCATTATTATTAGTATCTCATTGCTATCGTATGCATCTCTTTCTTTTTTCTTTTTTTAAGTCGTAGTGCATGTTTATTTTTTAATAATAAAAAGAAAGTAGAAAGAAGATAAAAAAGTTGGGGGAATTCCTAAAACAATATAAAAAGAGAAAATGGAAAGAATAAAGGTGTAGTATGCAATGTAAAGTCATAGAAAGCAATGTAAGAATTTAAAACAAAATGTTAAGAATTCCAAATGTTACGTCGCTATTTTATCAAATCATCGCATTATATCTATATTTCTTACACAAAAAAATGAACTTTATATTATAAAATTGCGTAAGTAGACCAACGGATCACTTTGATCTTTAAAATATCAACTAGATTAAATGTATTATTAATTATTATTATAATTATTATAATTATTAATTATTTTTATTATTATATTATTGTAATACGATGACACTAACATTACGGATTGTAACAGCGATTATATTTATATATTTCGACAACACATCCATTGTATCCAAGTACAGAAGTACATAAATGATGTCTTAGTTGCGTTTTATTACGCGATATTTTTTCAAATTATTCGACATGATGTAATTACTCTAAATTAATAATTTAGGACGAACAATTTTCATAAAAAATATTGGTTTTTATAGTAATATCGTGGGACTTACAGGATACTTTATACTTCTACCAATGTTTCGATTGAAAGTAATATGTGTTCTTCAAACGTAATTAATTTATGAGTTCGAGTTACCTTTACAAAATGTTCGTATATCATATCTATTATCCTGTATTTTTCCTCCCTTTTATTTCATTTTTTTTTTCCATTTGTATGCATACTATTCTAATCTACTTTTAATCTTACGTATCTTCTATTAAAACTAATCTATAAGATTCATAAGGTAGTTGTTTTTTGCAAGAACTATTGAATTAACGGCTGCAATGCAGTCTTTGGCCATTGATTTAATGAATGACTGTGGAATTGTGTTCAACAAACTTTTTTTAATGATTAGCAGTACTATTGAATTACGCTTTTAACCAGAATCTGTAAGGTTGCAGTCAAATTTTGCAACGGTAAATTGAAATTTCATTTAGTAAGAATTTATATAATTATATTTATATAATTATACATACATAATCTTAATAATCTATTGTTAAAATATGCAAAAATAATTATTTAATTGTTCGTAGCACAATTTAAATTAAAAAGTTAATGAATAATTAAGTTTTTTATAACATTCAAATAAAATTTACAAAAAAAATCCTAGAAAAAAAGTAAGTTGAAAGTAAACTTTTGCAAATATAAATCCGTTGCAAAATTTATAAAAAAATTTTTATAATAATTTCTGAAGAATGTACTGTTAATTATGATTGTATCAGTTAATCCTTTATGGACTCTTTTTATCTAATGTTGCAATAAGTGCGTGTTTCAAAATAAAATAAATTACGAGAAATTTGTACAAACATTATCGCAATTTTTATAAATATATGGATCACGGGATATATTAATACATAAATTGTTAACTTAGAAATTATACTTATCAATATTTTTTCATTATCGTTTTGATTTTTATTAAAATAGAATAATCTTCAATCATTATTGTATAAAAATTATAAATATTCTTTAATTAAAATAAAAGAAAAAAAATAATTAAATATAATTACATTTTCTTATGAAAAAAGTTAAATATTGTTATATGCACAAACTTATAAGATAATATGAATTTCTATGTTTAATAAGAATCAAAATGGTAATATTTCGTATATCATAGCGTTTACCAAATTCATTAACGTTTACGTAAAAGAAGAGATAAAACAACTCTATTATTTTACATATTTAGTCCATATAGGATTAAAGATTGTACATAAAATATTACTATTCCTGAAATAGATAAGGTATTATACCTTCATGAATGTCCTATAATTTTTATTAAGCATTTCTTTATCTATTTATCATGCTATGAAGTAATGATAAAAATATAAATCACTTCATTTTCTTACGATGATGTTACAGTATATATATATATGTATACATATACAGGGTGTTAATATATGGGATAACTATAGAAAATCAATTCCATACCAAAATAAACACAAAAAATAATGTACAAAAATATCGATTAATTATTTATTAAATTATAACTAATTGAAATTTACATTAAATGAAGTAAGAGGAAAAAAAGATTTCAAGAATTCCAATCCCGAAAATTGAAATCATTTTATCTTCGTTGCATCACCATCACACTTCATTCCTACAATTTCATTTAACACAAATTTAAATTTAATTATTTATAATTTAATAAATAAGTCTCAACTTTTATATTTATTTTGACCTTTAGATGCTCTCCAAAAATGAACAAAACGAATATATTAAAACCCTATATGTATGATAAATATATTATTTTAATTTTGAATACCAAAAGTACATATTTATACATGAAACGAATATGTAAAGAAAAAATAGGAAATATTTACTATTTTCTACGTTTCCACAGTTCTCTAAATAATTTTATAATATTCTAATTAGTCATGCCAATAGTAAAATTAAAAAAGATACTTCCAAGAATAAAAATGCAATAATTTGTATGTAATACTTTTTTAATACGTTTTACTTTTTCATTATAATTAAAATGAAAAAGAAAACACTTTTTTATAATTAGGAAAATAAAATCAGGAATTTTTTGAGTTTTCATAGATTACTCTACAATTAATTAATCTTTACTCCATATATTTAAATATATTATTCCATATATTAAATTGTAATTAATAATAAAAATTACTTATTAATTTTTGTAAATTATTACTCCTGAAATAATTAAAAATCTATAAATTTAAATATTAAATTCAACCAGTTTGTTATAATTTAAAAAAGATCTTTGAAGATATATCAATATGCAAAATACATTGTACAATGAATTTTTATTTATATAAAAATTATATATTAGGGAGCTTAATACTAAAAAATAAAGATATTATTAGATTCTCAATGCAAAATTTTATAAAAAAACAATTTATTTTATTTTTGATATAAATAAGATAATTTATTGACTTTAATCTAATATATAATAAAATATGAAAAATGGAATGAAAAATTAAATCTTAAGTATTATTTGTTAGATCTGGAAAACTTTGATGTAATATCAATTCTGCACAGTTTACATAGTATATAACATTATAAAGTTATATAATATATATAGATGATCCTACTCTAGTTATTCACTTTATTTTTCAAATACATTGTAAAATAAATGCAGTCGCATTACCAAAGATTTTTAATTGCTTTCTAGAATCTGTCTCTGGAATTAGAAAAATTTTTTGCTTTTACGTTTTTAGCTAGATACAGTACTTTTCTCACACTCATAAATTGTACAAAGAAAATTTCACTTCAAGTTTTGCTGAGATATATGTTAAAATTGTATGTAATAAACCAATCACATATCTATAATGAAAAAATTTACAATTCATCACTCTTCGGCTTAACACTTTTGCCTTTACGATCAAATCCTTTTAATTCGTTGGTTGCATGTTTAGCAATATATTTAATAAAATCATCAAGCTCTCTGCCACCTTCATACTTAATTGGATTATTTTTAGAGTTTTTAGGTGCCCAATAAAGTGTAGGGAAACCTCGAACTTCATATGGGCCAGGAACATCATTAGCAGTAGCATCGAACTTTATGATCTCAACATCCTCATTCGCAAGTTTTTCACCTAATTCATCATAAACAGGAGCTAATTTTTTGCAATGACCGCACCAAGGTGCATAAAATTCAATCAATGTATCTTTGTCATTATTTGTAACAAGTTCGTCAAAATTTCGAGCTACCGCAATTTTAACATTTCCAGAATTATCTTCGGGAATTGGTTCAGACTTTAGATATGGTTCTAAAACACCAGCTTCCATATCTTTTAAGAATGCTTCAAATGTACTAACGGAGAATTCATCTTTCATAACAAATTTTTGGTTATTAATATTTCGTGCCAATATAACAGGTTTATCACCTTTAACAAAATCAATTCCAAAATCATTCAATTCGTGCTGAAAATCATCTTTGGAAGAAATAGCGAAGTTCAAATTAGGGAAGTCCTTAGCAACTTTGATAATTCTATTACGCCAATAGTTTGTACCCTTTGGATTCTTGATATAATCTACTGCATAATATGCAACAACTAATGGATTTTTAAATTCTGCTGTATTATCTCGTGTACGAACTCCCGCAATACCAAAACTAAAATAAATATTCAATTTTAGCAAATACTTCAAATATAATATAAATATTTATATATATAATAATACAAATATTCGTAAAACATACTAATTCTTATTAATAAATTCTTGAATATCACCCATAGTTTCATCATATTTCACAATGTTTGCTTCAAATTTATTTTGCAAAATTTTTGGTCTATATAAAACAATAGTATTCCTGTAAATAAAAAAAATATATTTTATTCTATGTTTAATATTACTTATAATATAAATTTATTATAATATAAATAAATTACTTATGCCCTTCTTTTTCCATAAGAAATTTGGCAGTTGTGTGTGCAAATCTAACTTTTTCTTTAAGTTTTTTAGAGACAGCATGAAAAGTTGTTGCTAAAGATAAATCTTCTTTTTCAAAGAAACCTACAACACTTACTTCATCAGAATCTAAAAATGACTTTAAACAACTTTCTTCATTTAATTCTTTAGATGCTGGACCAACTTGTGCCTAAAATATATTAAAACTATATGAAATATTTTATATGAAATATTTAAGTAACTTCTATATTATCAAAATTCTAATTACCTTCATATACTTAACAATGCCAACAGCTTCTCTAGGTCCATTGTAATCACTAACAAAATCACCTTTAGAAAAGATCTTCAATGTTGGATAACCACTAACAGAATACTTGTTGCAAGTATCCTTTCCATTTTCTGTACAATCAACTTTAGCAAGA